GAACGGTTGTTGTGAGGAAAAATGGGAGGAGGGCAAGTTACAGCCACAGCTGGGATTTCCTTAATGGAAAATGAGATGTAAACCTAAAAATTAGAAATAATAGTAAGGAAATGGGCAACCATCCCTATGGCATCCATTTTGTGAGAATGGATTTGCCCATTCTCACATGGCCAAATGAGCCCCCTGACCTATAGACCTGTCTGCATCCCCCTGCATTTTCTCCTTCTGCTGCTTGTTTGTGTGTTGGCTAAAGCTCACCTACATTGGTGACAGAATCTTCTGCTTTTATTTTGTCCTTTCGCAAGAATTTTCTTATAAAGTTCTTGGCCTTGAAGGATGGGAACTTTGAATTCTGCTCCTTGAAATATTCCATGCAGGCATTCTCTAGGATGCCAAGGACCATAAATGCAAAGATTCCGATAAAAAACATTGCTGTGGAGAAGAAACAGCCCTGATTAGTTTTTCCCATTCTTATAGGCTTCAAAGAAAACAAGAGACAGGCAGAGAGGCTTTATTAGTCTAACAAGCTAATTTTATTTACTTATTTACTTATTTACTTATTTACTTATTTACTTATTTACTTATTTACTTATTTACTTATTTACTTATTTACTTATTTACTTATTTACACGTATATAGCATAGCAGCTATGGCAGTTTAGTGGTTAGAGTGCCACCTTTGATGTGGCAAACCGGGGTTTCTAATCTCAGCTGGGACCCACCTTACGAGAAGGGATCCTTGGGCAAAGATCAATTAATGTTTCACCTGCCTGTCTCAAATATGAGAGTGACATGAACTAGGAGAGTCATGCCAGCTTGGATGTCTCCTGGATTAACAAGGTCCATATCAAATGTTGGGGAACCAGGACAATCTGACGATGAGTAGACTAAGGGATCAAACCATACATGGATGAAACAATTTATGGTCTCTGAACTGGTCTCTGGAACTGATGGAATTATATTTCTTTGTTAAATGTATATGCTGCCTTTTTCCCCAATAGGATGACTCTGGACAGCTTGTATAATGTAAAAAGATAAATAGAAAAGCAATTTAAAATTTTAGAATTATGCACATTAAAAATTTTAAAACTATGCTGAAAACCAGAATCAAGACGACAGATGGGGACATAGGTGAGGTCTTTTTACCCTCCAGGGGTGAGCAACCCCTTGTGGCCCTAAGCCAATTAGCAAAACCAAGTTTAATACCCTTCTGGAAGGCAGAAGATAGCACCCAACCATGAAGCTAAACTTCAGAGCCCTCTGTTAACAGTCTATTGTTGCATTGAACTCACAGAAAGTCCATAAGCAGCTTCTACTTTCTCATAAACCCAGTACAGCCATTGTCTCTGATCCATCCAGAATCAAATACCAATGATTAGTTCTTGATAATAAAAAAAGCTTCCAGTTGATCATCTTTGCTTTTCTTTAAAATTATGAATGGAATCTCTCTAAATAACTGCTCCTCGCTCTCCAAAAAAGAAGGTGACCATTGAGAATATCTCCATAATACATGTACACCAAATCTTCCACAAATTGGGACCTAATATATCTTTACAGCCATCCTCTAATTGCATATGATGTTTCCATTCTGCAAACTCCATCAACTTTTCTGAGAAAGTCATTAAATTCATTAATGCTCCCTTCAACCTCCTGTAACAATTACATTACTATATTTTTCCTTTTATCAATTTAGGCAACAGCACAGAGCTATGGCTCCTATGTCAATGAGTTCTACTCCATGTCAGAGTTACTTTGCTGTGTGCTACAAAAATCTTTTAAGTTTTAATTCCATGTGATGTGGCCATCCCCCATTGTTATGTAGTGATAGATAGATATAGATATAGATATAGATATAGAGATAGAGATAGAGATANATTATATATAATGATTATATAGTTTGCTATTCACAGTGGTGTTCTATGGATTTACAAAGGAAATCATGAAAGGTTCTCTCTAGGATGTTAATATAATCTCTTATCTAAATAGCTCCAATAAGAATAGAACCCTGAAATTCTAAGGAGATGTTACAAGTTGAACAATATTCAGATATTTACAGCCAGATACTCTTCTTACATATGTCATTGAAGATTCTCAATCATCCAGGTAGAGTTGAGCTCAGACTGAAGAAACTATTGAATAAGCAATGAAATGTTTCAAAAAGAAAAGTCCAATTGCCATGACTCAATTTCCAGATGGTTTTCTTACATAGTATTATTCCCACCCCCACCCCTTTTAGGAACATTGTGTAGTAAAAAGGTAAATCCATGCTGAACAAGTTAACCTTAGAAAAATATAGTGAGTTACTCTTGAGAGATTTGTATTGATACCACCTTTATTTGCAAACCTAACACTGATTTACCAGTTCAGTTTCTAAATCCTTACTTAATCTTTTACCTAAATCTTACATTTGGTTGGTTGGCTTACTGCTGTCTTTTTAAATGCATGTATTAGATAGTCTTACCTGATTCATTGCTATTCTGCTAAGTCAGTCTTCTGAATTAATCACATTACTGGTTCACACATCACACTAAGTAACCTGGCTTGTTTGGTTTGGACTAGTTCATTGCAATTCCAAATTCATGCTTTATCACTATGTATGAATTGGCTCACTGCCTTATTTTGAAAAAAAAGAATAAAGATTCAGTGTTGAACTGATGACTTCATAGTCCCATTATGCTTGCCTTTTTTCAAGATAGTTTTCAACTTGCCATGTCTAGTTTATAGTTTGGAATTCCATGTATTCGAATTAGTTTTTGGTATTCATAGATTTTCACATATATTCTTTTCTTGTTCTAATAGGGAGCCACTATTGTCACTGTACTATAGTGAGCTCTCCTAGGGATGGTCTACTTAGAATTGTTATACTAGTTAATAATAATAACTACCCTTTGTATTTCTCTGTTTTAGAGTTCTGAATAGTTTGTCTTAATGTGTTGTCTTTCCTCTCACTTCTTATCTTCTGCATTTCCACCAATGTTTTTTTATCCAATTTAGCACTCTCGGGTTGATCCAGAGGAACTGTTCACTAAGCTGGAGAGGATTGGTAAAGGATCATTTGGGGAAGTGTACAAAGGAATTGACAACCGTACCAAGGAGGTAGTAGCTATCAAAATAATTGACTTGGAAGAGGCAGAGGATGAAATTGAAGACATACAGCAGGAGATAACGGTTCTCAGTCAGTGTGATAGTCCCTATATCACCCGATACTATGGCTCCTACTTGAAGGTAACTGAAGCTAGAAAAGTAATCTGGATTGCAATGCTTTGGTTGCTAGCTGAAAATTTTGAATTTATCTATAAAACTGAAGGAAAGGGAAACAAAAACCAACCACTGTACAAACCTTTCTCCCTTTGAGCACACTAAAATGGCTTCTTTTTTTAGACAAGCCCTCTGTTTTTCCCCAAGATTTGTTTATATTTCAAATCGCAGCACAAAATTTTGTGGTAAAGACACTGGTACAAGTGGATAAACGTCAGCAAAGTCCTTTCAAAGTCCTTTCTCTGTTATTATGGAAATAAAAATACTCATGATCAATATTTAATCTTCCAGAGAGCTAATAATTTGAATGAAATTCAGTCTAAACAGTCAATGGAGTGAATAAGTAATACATACAGTGGCCCCTCCCTAAATTTACTGATTCTAAATTAGACTTTCTTAATAATTTTACTGAGTTTGTAAAAATGTTGTCATGTGTAAATTAAAAGTGCTTGATTATGGTGGGTGAACTTTGCTTCTGAAATGCTAATCTTTTGCCTGAAGGACTGCTATGATAATTTCAACTTTTGTGCAGCAAAGATAAAAGTGTCCTTGTATTTTCTTATGCTAACATTCTTGTATGAAACAGGTTATCATGGCACTGTTTATATAATTTCGTAAACTATAAAAAATATTACCATCCATGTGTTACAAAAGTCAGTGAGGCAGCTAGATCTTATTCTGGTATTAAGAAACTAAATAAGAGATGAAGGACAGTCTGTTTTGAGTGGCAATATTTCTAATAAAAAAGTAGATGGATTTACGAAATTATATAAACAGTACATGATAACCTGTTTCATACAAGAATGTTAGCATAAGAAAATACAAGGACACTTTTATCTTTGCTGCACAAAAGTTGAAATTATCATAGCAGTCCTTCAGGCAAAAGATTAACATTTCAGAAGCAAAGTTCA